TAATAAGAAGTGCAAAATTTCTTCAACGACATGAAAAAAATATATACACAACAGTAAACTAGGACAACTTGATAAAAAAAAATATTAACTAATTACCGCTAATGTCATAATCAACAAATACCATTAAGATCACTTTGAAATAATGAATTAACATCACACAGAGGGTGATGTAGGCATTCCACACCATGCTCCAACCGGACCACGAGATTCATCTTGGTTCGGTGTTGGGGATCACCTTCTCCCGCATCTGCAATAGCTCCCGGGTCTGAACCATGAACGGATGACCCTACATCACCCGAATCGCACGCTACCTCGACATCGACCTCACACCGTGCACCCTTGTCAGCCGCTCCATTGACCTACCAGAGTCGACACTGGTCAACATGAAGCTTCTACAAGAGGCGCACGACATTCGACATATCCAACGCCTTCCGCACCCATCTATTCCTTGTGCAGCTTCAGCGACTGCCCATGCAACTGTGGGTGGCGCAAGAGGCTCACCTGAGGAGGAGCATCAGATACCACATCTACAGAATCAGGCTCCACCACCACCTCACCACGCTCCACGTCCGACGCCCTAGTACAACAACCAGACGGGTCCTTTCACTGACCACTATTCCAGCCGTCTAGATGACTTGGAGCACTAAGCTGCACTGATCGAGACTCGTCTTTCTCGAGAGAGGAGGGCTCGACGTCGCACTCACGCTATGCAGGAGCAGCTCCTGAGTCGCTGTGGGCTCCTGGAACCTGACCCGTACCAGAGTGATGATGAGGAGTGATGACACCTAGGACATTTTCTATTTTTTTGTAACTCTTTGCTTTTGTTTTTGTTTCTTTTCTTCCATGTTTAATAACTTAGCATATTTTGAGTGTTTGACTATGTTTTCTAATGTGTGACTGGTCCTTCTCTAGTCGTTCCAACACTGGTCATATGTTCGATAACTTTGTGCCCCATTTTCCTGATCTTTCCTTAATTTGGGACGATGTCGTACTTAAGTGTGTGTCTGTGTGAGAACAGGAGCGGGGTTGGGTGATTGATTATGAATGATTATATGATTTGTTTGTGCTTGGAATCTAGACCATTGTTGAAATGTTTAAAATTTTGGACTCCAAGCATATTTGACCTATTGTGCATGATCATAGTGGCCACATTTTAAACTTGTGTGTGAATCTTGTGGCTCATTAGTCATTAGTGTCAATGTATGAGTATTGTGATTGAGACTGTATGTGACCTATGATGATGATTGAGAATTGCAGTGAGATTGTGTCTCGTGTCAAGATTTTTATATGGCAAAACTGCATGAAGAATCTATTTGGTTGGTTAGGCATAGAGAGCTAGAGATGTGCATGTGAAATTGAGCATCAAGGTAGTTATGTGAGATTTGTTCTTATTCATTTCTTTCTTGTGTGATTAGTTCCATCTTTGCATGAATTTTCTATAATTTTTCAATAAAACGAATCACGAAACCACAAATTAGGAAGATGAAGGTATATGTTTAGCTCACGACCAAATTGACCCTGCTCATAATATCCAATATCCATTAATCAACTCCGTTGAGGTTTAACCTGTTGTTTCTTACTACCACATTGTTTGATGTCAATCCTTGTTCTTCAAGCCTATATGTATTTGACTCCTGTTTCTTTTTACATCGTTTTTTTGCTTCACCATGAAATGAGATTTGAAGTAGTTTTTTTGAAAAATGTGGTTTTTTTATTTTTTGCTCATCAAAATATAAATAAAAAAGAAAAGAAAAATAGAGAGAACAACCACAAAGTTTGAAAATTGAAAAACAAGAGTCGTTTTCTAGCTCAAAGGCTAAGAACTTCTAAAGTTTGACAATTTCCTCCCATTTTTTGATGAATTGGTTAGGCTTATCATTTCATAAAAAAGAACCAATTACTACTGGCAACACACTCTGCTAGCTGAGTAAGAGACAAAAAGACTTAGAGAACAGTATGAATCAATTTCAACCAATCCTACCAAAGACAACAACATACATTCAGAGAAAAAACTGAATCAGAACAGCAGGGTCAAGCATCATCCTCGAGCTCCTTTTTACTACTAACAACAAACTACAGTCAGAATATGAGTCGTTTTTGGAAAATGGAGTTGTTTGATATTTTGCTCTTCATAATACAAATAACATGTACATCTTTTGTATAAACTGTGGTCTCGATCCCACTGGTAAAGTGAGAGTGGTTTATTTTCATATCATAAAGTTGCTTCGTATTTTGTTATATGTGACTTTCTTTCTATGTTTTGATAGTTGGGGGTTTTGATTGATTCATTGTATTTGAAGAGAGGTTTATAATTATGATGAGGAGTTTATACCGGAATAAACTTATTGTGTTCAAATGTCATATGTGGTGGTTGCTAGTGTCTCTATTGTGTTGCTCTGTGTGTTGATGTTAATGGTCATTTGTGATTCATTGTTTTCCTGCACCCTTATGATTTGCTGTAACTGACTTTCAACCATTTTCCTTTCGTGAATATTGTCTTGTACAATAAACAATTAAGTATGGGAGATTATGATGCGTGCATAATTATACATATTTTGTCCTTATAATTTGATCGTTTCTTGGTCATTTGGTTTGAAAACAGCCTTATATAAGTTGATTTTATGCTAGGTTGTTCGCTCATGTCACAATCCATGTCCTAGTGCACGATTAGAGGTTATTCGCTCATTTGGGATATGAGATGAACTTTGGTATTCAAATAGGATTGCATACCCATTTTCAAACTGGACGGGTGCCCAATCCCGTCCCGTTTCCCACCCCTATTGAATTCCAATTCAGCGAGGGGCTTTAGCTCATTTAACCACAATGACGCTTTTCCGCTAAAAAACGTGAAAACCCCTCTCATTCTACAAATTGAATTTTATCATTTCTGCCCAGCTATCTCATTTGTGTAAAATGATTTTTCAAACAAAAAATGAAATTACAAGTGAACACGTTTTTTTATAATTTGATTCTTGATTTTGATGGACAAAAAAAAAATAATCAGAAGTGACAGGGCATAACGATCAGAGGGTCTATTCTCCTCCGAAAGGCAAAGAGCTAAAGGACAATACCAAGATCAACCCGGCTAAGGGTCGGGCACAGAACTATTTATATTTAATGAATTGGAGGCTTAAGTGTCACTGTTTATAAAAAAGAGAAAGTTGAAATAAATGAGATTTTTTCCAGTAATAGCACTAAATAAACAAATTTCAAAAATTCCAGTCATTTCAGAAACAATCCAAAACTACTACACTTTTTCGAAAATCGCTTGGGGAGGGTGCGATTTTTGCTGAAAACCGCATGGAGGTTGATAAACCACTGAGGGAAGGAGCGGTTAAGGTGAAAACCGCCCCCCACCCCCAGACCCACACGGCCACACCTAGCGGTTTTCACCTTTTTCTCCGATCAACTCCTAATCTCAACCGAAACTTTAAACGAACATAACTTTGCGCTCGGATATTCGATCGTAGCGAATTTTTTTTATTCCGCATACCTTTTTGAGATCTTACAAGTTGCAAACTTCCATTTTTTGATTCCGCATAACTTTTCGAGATCTTACAAGCTACAAACTTTTGTAGGTAATTAGGGTATGCCTTCGTCCCGAAAAAAACGTCGTTTGCTACTCCGAACGAGCAATGTTTTGATTTTGCCAAACTTGGACGACCATACCTCTATGCTCCACACCCTGAACGTCATGAATTTTTTTGATTCCGCGTAACTTTTTAAGTACTACAACTTTTAGGGTGTGCCTACGGTGACATGCATGTCACGGTGACTTGCACTTTCCGGTCGACCTCGGTTAGGATTAGGTCGACCTCATTCAGAATCCGGTCGACCTCATCTGTTGTTTCAGTGTAAAAACAGTTCATGGTGCCTACTTTGGATATTCATATCATACAATTGGCTAGATGGAAATTGAAGACTAATTACTTGTTTTGAAGCTGGAGTGTCCCTCTACGTATTGAAGTGATTTCGAGCTCGATAGGAAGTCTAGAAGACCATTTTTGAACCTCATCAAAAGGCTATGCCAAAACAGGGAAACTGCCTGGAAATGGCTAAGTCTGGAAACGTGTTTGTGAAGCCTATTTTGGAGCTCAATTCGAGAAGCATGAATGCGAGTCGAGTCCAGGAGCCTCTACCACGTTAAATTAGGTATGTTTTTATACAAATTCAAGGCATTGGATGAAAGATTGGATATCTGTAAGGCTTCAAACAAAAGGGTCGAAGTTGCTATGAAGGATGTTTTTTTGGCAGACTTCGAGCACAAGCAAGCTGCCAGAAAAACAGCCTTCGTAGCAACTTCGAGCCTTTTGTTTGAAGCCTTAAAGATATTCAATCTTTCATCCAATGCCTTGCCTTTGTATAAAAAAATACGTAATTTAACGTGGTAGAGGCCTCTGGACTTGACTCGCATCCATGCTTCTCAAATTGAGCTCCAAAGTAGGCTTCACAAACACGTTGCCAGACTTAACCATTTTCAGGCAGTTTCCCAGTTTTGGCATAGTCTTTTGGTCAGGTTCAAAAATGGTCTTCTGGACTTTCTATTGAGCTCCCAAGTACTTTAATGTGTAGAGGACCGTTTAGCTTCAAAACAAGCTTTTAATCTCCAATTTCCATCTAGTCAATTGTAAGATATGAATATCCAAAGTAGGCACCATAAAACTGTTTTTATACTGAAACAACAGATTAGGTCGACCGAAAAGTGCATGTCACCGTAGCAAAATCCCAACTTTTATTGTAGTCATAATTTCAAAATGTAAGTGAATTTATGAAAAGTAAAAGTACAATTATTCCCAAAATTCCATACATCCAAAAATAATTGAAAATTAAGGGACGTTAAACAACCTTACTTTATGGGTTTTTTTAACATTCTTTTCGTTGAAAGTTGAAACAAACGCCCCCGTACGTTCAGCTCTGGTAATGTATTAGTAATTTAGTATCTTTGCTTCCGCTCGCCCTGTCACTCTCTCTCCGACTCTCCGACTCTCCCTCTCCCTCTCCCTCTCCCTCTCCCTCCCACTCTAATTTCCTTTTCCCTTGCTTCCGCGGCGTGATCGACACACTCACTTGGGACTTGCGGGCGCTGGGCTCCTCGCTCTCACTCCCACCCTCTCTGTGCTCTACTGTAAGTTCATCTCATAGACTATATTTCCTTTCTGTTTTGATTTCTCGACTGTAGCCCCTTCGCTCTGTGTTCCCCTTTTTGCCTGTTGTTACCGCTTCGTTTGCTTCCGACGCTCCGCCGTGCCGAGGTTTTGCATTTTACCCTTCTTTCCTTGTTCAGCGTTAGGGTTTCTGTATTGTTGATTCCCGACCCACATTGCTATTTTCTCTTCTCCGCAAACGCCGAAAATTCAAGCGGCCGTCCACTCTAGTGACCTGCATGTGATTTTCATGGGTCGGGATTGGAATCTTTTTGTGTTTTTTGGATGATGTACCTCTGGGTTTCTGAGACCCGTCTCTCAAGTTGTGGGAGTTGCAGTTGTGTTCGCATGTGCTATAAGGTCGTTGCTTTTCATGTTTATTTATCGAACTTGAGTCTCTGATTCTTTTCAGTTGATTCCCCTTCCAATTCGGCATTGAGGGTTTTCAACTTGGAACGGGAACACTGAGGTTAAAGTTTTCGTTTTTCCCTCTTTACTTTCTTATGGTGCTAGGTTGGTAGTGAGGGATATCTCTTTGGCCAATCAACCATGCCGGTAAATCCCAGAGTGCTTAAAGTCTTCCAGACCATGGGGGAGATGGGATTCACGGAGGATGTAGTGAAGCCTATATTGAAAAGGCTTCTGAAGTTGTACAATAAAAAGATCTCATTAATTGAAGAAGATAACTACCGGGTTCTTCTGGACGCTCTACTTGAGGAGCAGGAGGTGCATGCTCCCCCCTAGTTCTTAGCCTGAAATTTCTTTTTTACTCACCTCTTTGTTGACTCTAATGTTGCTGTGTGGTATTTGCATGTTGACTCAGGCATCGGGAAACAAGAAGCCGGTCGATGTAAGTGGTCTGGATTCTCTGTTATATTGTTATTGTGGTGCAGATTCATAAAAAAAAATCTTTCTTATTTTCTTGAATTGATGTGTTCCTGTGGGTACCCTTAATGTAGGAGGAAAGTTTTGAGGAAGATGCTCAGGATGAAGAACCTCCTCCACGACCACTAAAACGGCTTCGTCCATTGCGCTTAAGAGACCAAGAAGGAATGGTGTCCCCTTCATCTGGAAACCACTGCCCCCAAACCAATGGAACTTTGCTGAAGCAGCCAAAACGGGAGGATACAGATCCACCTTCCACAAGTTCCACACAGAGAAGTCCATCTCCCCAACATGCTGCTACAAGTACAGCCAGCCAGCCTTCGTCTGCACAGAGAAGTTCATCGCAGCAACAAGTAACTGACAGAATTGTTCCATCGGAACAATGTTTGCCTCAGAAGCAGCTCGTAAACAAAGGAAAAAAGCCTATGTCATCTCAGGGTCCTGCTAGAGATAAAAGGCACCTTGCTTCAGGAGAAAAATCCATACGTCTTGGTTCTCCACTTAAGCGAAAACTGCCTGACATCAGTGCCCTGATTGTACCTAAAGATGAGCCAGTAACCGAGGAGATGCCTCTCAACGAGCTTCCTCTTGCAGTAATAGGGCCTGGTAAATCATTCTACAATATTGTCATTTAAATTTCTTAGACGCTTTCCTAACGAGTGAATCGCTTTCTTTATTTTCTGCAGATTCGAGCAATGGTAATACTGCTGATCTTGGAGACCAAACTAGCATGCCCTCTTCTAACTTGGAAATCGCTTCATCCCCTTCAGGAGAGGTGAAGATATCCTTGAGCTGCCAACCTTTGTTTGGAAGGCCAGATTTTCACATGCCAACTCTGGATGAACTGCTGAAATCAGTGGAGGAGAAATCTCTCCGGCATAAATTACTTGATCCAAACTTTTCTCTCATCCAACTTATGAAAGATATGTGTCAGTGCTTCGTGGAATTAGCGACTGATTCATCTCATGAATCGCAGGAAAGGGGGGTAATCAGTGAAACACATTATGAGTTGAAGAATTCTGATGCTTCTACTGCTCTTTGCCTTGTGGGTACCGATGGAAATAATGAGGCCCCATCTGATGTATCTGTTGATCCAGAGCCTCAAGTTCCAAAGTTGGTTCATTCCTTGAGTAAGCATGTGATCCCCAATGGTGGTGATGTAAATGGCTTTGGATCAAGATCAGGAGACCCCGAATCTTGCAGCTTAGCAGTCGTTCCACGATATCAGACAGGTCGTGATGAGTTAAGGTCTCTTCATGACTCAAATGACATCACTAAGGGAGAAGAAGTAGTTGAGATTCCATGGGTTAATGAAGTCAACAATGAGTGCCCACCATCCTTTCACTATATACCAGGAAACCTTGTGTTTCAAAATGCCTATGTCAAGTTCACTCTTTCTCAGATCACGGAAGATCATTGTTGTACATCTTGTATTGGGAATTGCCTTTCTTCATCATCTCCTTGTGTTTGTGTTGCTGAAACTCTGTATGGGTTTGCATACACACCAGATGGTCTTCTCAAAGATGACTTCCTGCAAGAATGCATCTCCATGACTCGGGATCCGCAGCTACAATCCATATCCTCCTGTATGGATTGCCCATTGGAGAGATCCAGAAATGAAGAAATGTTAGAGCCATGCAAAGGTCACCTGAACAGGAAATTTATAAAGGAGTGCTGGAGAAAATGTGGCTGTCATAAGCAGTGTGGAAATCGAGTAGTACAACGAGGTATAAGGCGCAAGTTGCAGGTATGTTCGGGGCCTTCTAATCCCACACTCTTTTAATATATTTTTATTTTGTTATTTGTTTTTATATATTGCCTGAATGATTGATTCTGGGCATCAGGTTTTCTTCACAACTGATGGAAAGGGATGGGGTCTTAAAACCCTGGAGAAACTGCCGAAAGGTGCATTTGTTTGTGAATACATTGGAGAAATTCTGACCATCAAAGAACGGCATGAGAGAACCATGCAAAACTCAAGTATTACCAAGACTGAGAACCCCCCTTCAGTTCTGTTGGATGCGTATTGGAACTTGAAAGAGGCTCTAAAGGATGAAGAGTATCTCTGTTTGGATGCGTCGTTCTATAGTAATGTTGCCAGGTTTATTAACCACAGGTAGTTCTTTCTATCTCATGGATACTTTTACTGCATTGTTGTGGTTCTTCCTATGGTTTTGTTTTCTGACTTCCTATCATTTCTCCATAACCTACATGTTTGGATTTGTTGCTGTTATCTACTTAAAGTTAACCAACCTGGCAAATATCATTTTCTTTTTTTCCTGCAAGGTGCCTTGATGCCAATCTAATTGAGATCCCCGTTAAGATTGAAACCCCGGACCATCACTATTATCACGTATGTATTGCTTTGCTCAGAGTACTTTATTCATGTAATGACACTAAACTTTTTGTAGTTGCACCTCAAAGCTTAGATGTCTTATTGATGATATTTCACAGCTGGCCTTCTTCACAACAAGAGAGGTGGATGCCTTGGAAGAGTTGACTTGGGTGAGCAATTTCATTTATCGACATGCTACTGGTAGTTCTACTGATATTACTAGTAACCTGAGCTGAGAATTGCCTGACTTCAGCAAGTGAGGGTTCTTCTGAGTTTTTTTTTTACTTTGTGGTGGGGGATGTATTTCTTCTCTAGGTGCGTGTGTATATACAAATGAACCCAACACTTTATTTGCATGGATAGAATCTTAGAAATATAATTTATTTTCATATTGTTGCATTGCCACATTGGATTTTTTCTTGAAGAATTGATGTTCGGTCCATGCAGGATTATGGCATCGACTTCGATGATGACAATGATCAACCCTTCAAGAAATTTCAGTGCAAGTGTGGTAGCAAGTTCTGCAGGAACATGAAGCGACCAAGCAGTGAGTTCTTCTTTTGAAATCTTAACAATCACACAATAAGGCCATATGCTTCTTGAAATCTTTATTGCCTTTTCCCCCCCCTTCCCCGGTGTTGTTTGTGGTGGCTACATCGGTTCCAACACCAAACAGAAACTGTTAAACCGCATAACAGGGATCTTATTAGGCAAGACCGAACTCAGTCAGCTAACTGTAGCATCTTCTACATCCTTATATGTATGTATCTCATTTGTTGGTGCAGGATCGAGGCCTCTGGCCAGGTGATCATGGGACGAGAAACGGACAATTTGCAAAGCCTTCATCCTTGGGGGCTAAGATGGTTACACTGATCCGAGTTCGTGCTCATCTTTTCCAGTCTTCTTATCTGTGGTGCTTATTAGGAAATTAGGAGTTAGGATTTGATTTTAGCCATGTAAATCTTGTTTGGTTATGACATCTGTACATTCTCATTCCTCAGGCATGTCCATTATGTGTTTAGCTACTCTGAACTGAGCTCTGAAGTCGTAGATTATCGTTATAATTCTAAACGACTAGTTACTTGCTGATAAAAATAATCAATCAATGCATAAATAAACATAGATAAGGAAACAAAAAGAAACTAACAGCTTAACACAAAAAAAAAAAAAAAAATTGAAACTGGAAAGGAAAGAAAGGTGCAGGAGTTTTGGGTCAGTTTGTGGAGTTAGTCGTAGTCGGGATCCATTACGTTCTTGCTGCGGTCAGTAGCTGCTACTTGGCGCAGCTTCTTCATGTGCTGAGTCCTCGCCTTGCTCAACCAAGAAGCAGGCGATTGGGTGAGTTTCTTCTGGAGCAGCCTTTGCTTGCTCCCCTCGGTATATAGCGAGCCATCCTCGTCGGGCTTCCACTTCAGTTCTGGCTTGTAAAGAAGACGAGACTTCACTTCTTCCCTCTCTACGTCATAGGCCATAACCGTCGGCTTCTCACCCACCAGCTTCTTCTTCGCCGCCATCTTCGACTTGAACATACTCTGCAGCTGCTTGTTCACCTTGATGTGCTCTGCTAACGTTTCTCTTCCTAGAAATCCCTCTAGAAATGCCATCTGCGACCTCTCCGACCACGTTGTCAACATCACGCCCTCCTTCCTCGTCACCTCCAAACTCTTGCAAGAGCTGCCTTCTTCGAAGAACCTAGCCACCAACGCTAGCCTGGAAGCCGCGATGTTCTCTTGTTGCTCTTTTCCCTCTTCATCATCGGTTGCTTCCATCGCAAGCATCCTCTCGTTCAGTTTTTTAGCAATGTCGTGTTTGGATGGGTGAGATGATGAAGAAGATGAAGACGATGACGACTCTCCTCGTGCTCCACCGTTATCGTCCACAGCAGCAGAGTTGGGAACACTCATGAGCGAATCAATCTCGAAGACGAGAGCTAGTGCCTCGGCTGCTGCAAGGACGACGGATTCGTTGTCGTGGCCCAGAAGATGGAAGAAGCAAGGAATTGCTGTTAGCCAGTGGGCTCGGCTGATACCACAATGATCGCTGGACAGAATGAAGCACCAAGATGATACGGCAGCTGCAACAAGTTCTGGTGAATGCTCTTTCTTCTTCCCTGTGAAAGCAGTAAAAAAAAATTAAATAAAAATTGAGGGTAAAAAAGGTATTAAAAAAAAATTCAGGTACCTTGGCCATCGTCACTAGAATCGTGGAAAAAGCAGGCCCAAATCATGGCCATTGATTCCAGCCTGTGCTCCGAGAGATATCCTCCGAAGAAAGTGAGGACAGCCAAGCACTCGAGGACCTGAGCGGGCGGCTTCAACTTGGAGCTGCTCGATTTCACAGCGTCAAACAGCTTCGGGGCGGAATCGCGATAGATCTCGTGAGCAGCGTCCATGTCATCGAGGATCATCGCCACCAGCCCAATCGCACGCGCCGCCATCAAGAGCTCCGCCGCCGACCGCCCCTTTTTGACGACGCGGAGGCACTGGTCCACCAAGCTCATCCGATTCGACTCGAGGAACTCCTCGTCCCGCTTCAGCATTCTGGCCAGCTCCTGGACCATGCCTTCCAGCGCCGCCTCCCTCGCCCGCGCCTTGTGCTTCTCCGAGTCGGCCAGCTGGTCCAGGTAACCGGCCAGGGTGTTCCGCCGCGGTGCCGATTTCATCTTGACCTCCTCCACAACGGTGCCGCGCGATTCGCAGCAGATTTCGCCCCTTCTGGTTCTCTGTTGAAGCGCGCTGAAGCAAGGAACTCCACGGGAAGCGCTCTGCAGGGTTTCATGTCGGAAAATTGCCCCCCCTTTTTATTGATTTTCTTCCCTCTTTTCTTTTCCGGACAAGGAGAGGAGAGGGAGGTTTCCGGCTGAATGCTACAAGGATTCCGTCCCGTCATAGTTCATCTTTAGTTTTAACTTTGGGCTAATACCACTACAACACCCGAACTATCTCGAAAATGCCACTTGTGTCCTATTGTTTCCAATATTCCATATGTATCCTGAACTATTATACTTTGTGCCATTTGTGTCCTGCCGATTTTGTTGACCGTTAAAGATAACGGTTGACCAAATGGTGGTCAAAGAGAAGTTGACTTTTGTTGACGTGGCAAAAATGTGGCTGCCACATAAATGCCACGTCATTGACACCTCATATTCTTAATTAAAATTAAATTAAAAAATGTAAATTCAATAATATTATTAAGCCAAAATTTTAAAACAAAATAAAAAAAACTCTTCGTATTCTTCTTCTTGGTGCAAGATATTCGATGCGGCGAAACTGAACTAGGTCGCGGAGCACAGAGACGAGATCGCATCAGCTGGACGGAGCGAGGAAGGCGAGGGATTCGTTGCGGCTGGAGATGGAGAAAATCTGGGGGATTCTGAGCATATCCTTTCCATTTGCACCAGATCAAATCCCCAGGTGGAGTTCTTCGATGATGGTTTGCCTTCCTCTGCTCCCTCTGTGATTTGCAAAATTGAAGAGGATATCCCTCTGTACAGAGCCCACACTGGCTGGGATTTGGACGAAACTCGCCGTGTTTCTGGGTTCGGGAAGCATAACGGAGGGTTAGGAGGTGGTGGCGGCCAGGATCGACGGTGGCCCTATGCTTCCACTTCTCCCCGCACGTCGCCGTCGACGGCGGCAACTCATCATCCTCCACCTGCAACTCTTCGACAAAATCGGTGTTTTCATATTGCTATTCGTATTCGTTGTCTGCCGGTTCAATTGCAGGCATCACAATCTGTTGTGTTCCTATTTTGGGGGGTTTGGTTCTAGGGATTTGACTTCTCTGAGATCTGTAATCGAGATCCACCGTTCCATGTCCGAACTCTGCTCCAGCGGCCACGACCAGTAGTCCTTCGATCTCGCCAATTCACCAGATACGCGCACCATCTTCAGCTCATCATCAACCACCTCCTCCGATCCTCTCCGTCGCTTTCTGCTCCCGCGGAGACCGGATGGAGAGGCATCTCCGAAGATCTCTCTGATGTTGCAGAAGCGATTTTAGCCTATAGGAAGAAGAACAAGATCAGTGTTCTGGTCCAGTTCCTGTGCTCGTCTGTTCTGGAGCCGAGGGTCGACGGTTGCTCATCTCTTCCAGGCAACGATTCAATCTTGGAGGGGAAGAAGAGCGAACGGAGATATAGAGTTTTTTTTTTAGTTTTTTTATAAATATTATTTTATATAAATTCAGATTAAAAAATTACACGTCAGATGCCACATCAGCGCGGACTAAATTTTCTGTTAAAAACTAACGGTCAACAAAAGTCAACACTAACGGAATCATAGTTCAGGACACAGATGGAATATTGGAAACAATAGGACACAAGTGGCATTTCCGCGATAGTTCGGGTGTTGTAATGGTATTAGCCCTTTAACTTTTAACTAAACATGTTCGATATAATTAGTTAATTACAATGACAAATAAAATAAATCTATCAATTTGTGCACGCAAAAGTGATTTAGGATAACAGATTACTGGATTAGCTTATTTTTTTAACCATTTCTAAAACTTATCTAATACAAGTTCATATAATTCATCTATAAGATATTTTAACTAGTGATAATCCTACAACACGCAGTGTAGCATACAAATAATCATATGAAATGAGATAAATAAACACGATTAATTATGGCCAGATCAAATAGACTTGTGTTGGGTTTGACCCATTGCTAAAGTCAAAGAGTTTCACGAAATGGGATTTGACCCTTATCAAATCGTCTTCAAGCTTAAATGGACAAGGTAATGTTGGTGTGAGAAGCAAATACACAATAAAGGAGAGTAAGGAGAGATACACGTGCATAGGATGTTTTGTTAACCGAGTTCGGCCTATTGCTTCACGTCTCAAGCTCAAAGGTGACTTACCCTTTGAGATCTATTCTCTAGTCTAGGTTTTTATCTTATTCCAATCTAACTCCAAGTTGAGCCCCGTTAGCGAACTTCAGAGGAAAGATGAGACATGAATAGAAACTCTAATTTTGCTAGAATGGTGATTTAGCAATAGAACTCGTAGTAGTCAGCTTGTCTTTGAATTGAGCGACAATCAACATTTTGAGTAAGATATTTTATCGTCTTTGTCATGATAGTCGAAGGAGGTTCAAGATTTAGTGATTAGATGATTTGAACAAGAAATAGATGAAAAACTTGTGAGAAAGTTTAAGGTTGAGGAAACATATTGGATGAGAGATAATCCGTAAAAAAATGTTGAGGAGATGAAAAGGATTGTTCAACCGTCAATCCTTAGGCATGCGCTAAACCATGTTTAGTTTAGTTTAGTGAAATAGGAGTATAGGACGGTGAAATGATGACTTTTTGTACAAGTAACTGGGGTGGAGTTCTAAAGATGCCAGATGGTAGAAGGGAGGGAACTGGTCACACCAGACAGTCGAAAGAGAGAAGAATTTTTATAGTCATGTTCCAGTTGAATTACTCGTTTAGTGAGGCTTTCTAGAAAGTTCTCTAGCTCGTCTATACTATTCATAATTTCACTAAACATACATTCTGTTCTTTTTTTAGGCAAAATACATTCTCCTTGAGGTCGTGTTTGTGAGTTTTATCATTTTGACTCTTATTTTTTAGGCAAAATACACTTGTATAGCCAAAATTTTCACGTTTGTGTCAAAACTCTTATTTTTTATATTAGGTGAACTCAAATAATAATCTGAATCATAGTCTATGCATGTATGAAGTGGTTTTGTTCTACAAGCTCCACGTAGCCTTGGTGGTCATTTTCGGATCCTAACTCATATGATCCTTCTTCCCTGGCCCCTGCAGCTCCAAGTGGCAGCCATAGCTCCTTCTTTATCATACTTATTGTGAGGGCAATCGGCTCTAAGATAGCCTGGTTTCCACACCTGAAACAAATAACAATATCTTTCTAGGTGTTTATGGCATTTTTGTATCCTTTAGTTTTACTATTGTTTCTATTGTCGAGCTTTCTATAAAACTTTGTATCATTGTTGAATCTTCCAAAATCGGTGTTTTGATTTCTTTTGAATCGCGAAAACCCTAGTTTCTTTGAAAGAAGTAGTATTTGCTCTTCTATTTCTTCTTCATCTTCCATCAAATGGGATTTGAGGGCTAGACCTTCCTCTTGTGAGCCTATTAACTCACTTAATTCAAACTTAGCAAGATCTTTGGATTCTTCTATGACCGTTACATTTTGTCTCCAAGATCTTGGTAAATAGTTTAAAATCTTACTAACTAAGTCTGTATTGGTGTAAAGTTTTCCAAGAGTCATTAGCCCACTTCCTATATTTGTGAACCTTTCATACATTTCAGTAATATTTTCATTCTTGCTCATCTTGAACAGTTCATATTCCCTTACTAATCCTGGCATCTTTAACTTAAGACCTACCTTCATATGTAGTCTTTACTCTCTAGGGTATCCCAAATTTCCTTTGCGATTTTGCACATGGCTACTTTGACGTATTCTTCGGTCCTCTTTTGATATTGATCCATACCTTCATGTCATTGGCTTGCGGGAAATCTTCCATGCAACATTTCGAAAAGGCATAACTATTACTGTCGAGTTTTGGTGGTCGTGTTGCAGACTGTCCTTCAGCATGCGTCATTGGAGGAAGATGACTCATTATTCTGGTTCATGATCTTGTAGCTTCTATCTTTGGATCTTGTTTATCGTGAGAGACCAGCTCTGATACCAATTGTAGAACACGTGTATCGCACTAATAATCTTATAAATGAGATACATAAACACGATTAATGATGTACCGGTCGTCTAGACTTGTGTGTTGGGCTTGACTCATTGCTAAAGCCCAAGAGTTTCACGAGATGGGCTATGGCTCTGATCCAGTCGTCTTAAACCTTGAATAGACAAGGTAGTGTTCGTGTTGAGAAGCAAACACACAATAGATATGAGTAAGGAGAGACGCATGTACATGGATTGTTTTGTTAACCGAGTACGACTATTGCTTTATGTCTTGGCTCAAAGGTGGCTAACCCTTTGAGACCTAGTGTCTAGGTTTTTTTTTAATCTTATTCCAATCTAACTCCAAGTTGAGTCCTTATGGGTGGAACTCATACCCTTGACAAGAATATAGCAATATACCTCTTTCTCTCTTCATCACAACTTCACAAGCACTTGTGCTAAAGAGAGAAACATGATTAATGATGTACCGGTCGTCTAGACTTGTGTGTTGGGCTTGACTTATTGCTAAAGCACAAGAGTTTCACGAGATGGGCTTTGGCTCTTATCCAGTCATCTTAAACCTTGAATAGACAAGGTAGTGTTCGTGTTGAGAAGCAAACACACAATAGATATGAGTAGGGAGAGACGCACGTACATGGAATGTTTTGTTAACCGAGTACGACTATTGCTTTACGTCTTGGCTCAAAGGTGGCTAATCCTTTGATACCTAGTGTCTAAGTTTTTTTTTTATCTTATTCCAATCTAACTCCAAGCTGAGTCCTTATGGGTGGAATTCATACTCTTGACAAGAATAGAGCAATATACCTCTTTCTCTCTTCATCACAACTTCACAAGCACTTGTGCTAAAGAGAGAAACTACACAACTCACAATCACTTGAGCAATACAAACGATGAACTCCTATCACTTTTAACACCTATTACTAGTCACAAAGTGTTTGATCTTGCTTTGTGTAGGATTGCTCTAGCACTTTCCGTAATGATTGTCTTGTTGCTTCATTCTATTTATACTTTCTTTGATGTAATAATATTCTCTTGATCTTCCTTTGATTTGAGAGATTTTTTCCAGCAATTATATGTTCACAAGTATGGAAAGTAATAAAATGATGTTACATTTGTAGTAAGAGAAAAAAATTTCCCAACAATACTATGGAAGGATATAATCATTATATTATTAGCCCAAACACTAAAGTAGAGAGAAATGTTAGGGTGCTAACACTAGTTTTATTAGAAACATTTCATTTTAATTACTTTTTAATTTAGATGATTTG